TATGTTTCTCAATATAAAATTATAATATATAGTATGTCTTTGTAATAACAAGACTTCCGTATTGTTATACAAAATAAAATATGAAGTTATAAGATACTCAATAACATAAGAAATATATTTAACCTTATAAAAGCTATAACTTTAAGATAATAACAAAAAGTTCCGCGGCGCAACTAAAAAACATACCTAGGCACAATGATACAAAATTTATCAAACATATATCTTATATTTTGTTTGTATATTGATTTTTTATTATGCAAAAATAATTAATTACGAGATTTAGTTGAATGACATAAGCCGCACTATATTGCATACTCCTCGGTGTCTGGATTGTTGTGGTATATTGAAGAGGATGGGTTTAAACAAGACAACTTGTTAGAAAATGTCATTCTAAGTAGTGGTACTTATAAATAACTATAACTTACAATATTATATATTATATGTTGCAGTATTATCAGAATTTTCAAAAAGTGGGGTTGGATCAAAACAAACTACCGTCAACGGAACTTGGAAAGAAGTCCATGAACTCATACCAATCGCACACAGTTAATGTCTTAAGGATTTACTCACTTTTGAAAATAATGTACATATATGGTAATATAATATACATTAAATGCAGTAATTATGTTGTAAGGTTAGATAGGGATAAAGAAGGTGGTGCGTGGGAGAAAATTCTCCTCCCAATCCCCCCTTTCTTATAAAAGCTACCAATATAAAATTATTATAGCCAACAATTACAAGTAAATATACATTAACGAGATATATAATATGTTAACAGTTTATTAAATCCCCTCCTGGCTCCTACCAATATACCAATAAATGCTCTAAATCTGCGATTGTTAGAAATAAGCATTATACTAATATTAAGTAAAATAAAAAAAACATACAATTTAATATGTAGACATTACTATATTGAATTTGATAATAAAATTAAAATATCTATAAAAATAAGTATTTTGTAGAAATCGAAACATGATTTATGACTCTGTATCCTATAAATTAAGTACATGTCTATGATTTTAAATGTATTTTACATAATATATTATGTATAACATGTTTTAATAACTATTGTGGTTTTATAAAACACATACTGTAAATTAAATATGTGTACGCTGGCTAATAACCACGCAGTTGATGCCTCAAACAATTTAAAAAAAGAAAAAAAAACACACATACTAGCTCTATTGCATATTGTATCTACCTACATATATTATTAATGCACAAATTTTGAATTTTCAAAAATTGTAAAACTTAAATTTAAAATATTTTAATTACTATATTCATATCTTTTGCAATTATTGACGGTGGTTTTAAAATGTATATTATTTTGAACATTTTAATAATAACGATTTGTTAGAGAATAGTGAATACAGTAAAAATTTTCAAATTCAAAATTTATAGAAATGTTAGAGTTTAAAGTTTTACACAAAATGATTTAGGTTCTATTTCTAATCTTATAAAATTTAACAAAAAATGTATAAATAGTCACATTTTTAAAGTTACTTAAATAAATRTATGTGTAAAAAATACATTTTTAAAAATACTACTAGATACTTATTATTTCATTTTATATTCATAATATTTATGATAATTTACAAATTACAATAAATATAGTAACTCTTTTTATGTTGTAAATTGTAATGATTATAGAACGTGAATTTAAATTTTTTCCGAAAGTCCCAAACTATTTATTTTAAGCGTAAAATTCGTTTCATCTATAAATTATCTTAAAATTAAAACTTTAATTTTTAATTTTTWTGGATTTTGGATTCTGAGCGGAACGAGGAATGTATCGATTTTATCATGATGTGTGTGTGTTTTTTTTTTTATTATTACACATCATCCTAATTATTGGCTAGCGTACACCAAATATGCCCATACTTATTTTTTCAATTTATATTTTGGAATTTTTAAGTAAGCATATACTTTGACACTATATTTCAAAATGCATATAGATTTTTATTAAATTTAAGGAGTATCTTAAGAAAATTTTATTTTTTGTCCTAGTATTATAGTAATAGCTTATTACCAGTCTAAGAATAAATCTGCTAAGTCTTTAAAATATATTTAGTTGGTTGATGTATATTTTACATGATAATATAATGTTGAGTATTTACAATTTTAGATTCTGAGCGGAGCGAGGAATGTATTGATTTTACTATGATGTGTTTTTGTGTGTGTGTGTGTGTGTGTCTGTCCTCACATTTTGGGGCAGAAAAAGTGCTTCGATTGTCGACTTCAGTACCTCGTTTGATCAGAATGTGAATCTATAGTTGGTACATTAAGGGGTCAAAAGTAAAATATTCTCAATAGTATTCTAAATAATCGGGATAAACAAACTAAAAATTAAGGGAAAAATGGGTATTTTTACGCACAATCAGTTTTCAAAAAAATAGATTTTGGTTTTTTAATGTAACTTTAAAACAAATGACCATAGACACATGAAAATKTAATACAAGGTTCCTAACATAGTGTTACAACAGCAGTTGAAAAATAAAATAAATTCATAGCCACAATTTCTTTTATATAAGCATTCAAAGTTTGAATTTTGACAAAATACGTAAAAGTCACAAAAATTCGCAAATTATTTTAAGCTAGAAATTCATAAGAAATTTTCTTTTTAAATCTTAGATTAGAAAATTTAATACAAGATTCCTTACAGTTTGTAAATCTTTATCACAAAAAAAATGTTCACCAGATATTCAAATTACATTTTAATGAGCGTTTGAAATTTAAATTTTTACTCCATTGGATTTTCACTAGATTTCTCAATTAGCGATTTAAGATTTTCTTATTTTGGTGCAACTGTAAAACAAATGACCGCATATAGGTACTTGAAATTTTCACTGAATGTTTATACAGGCATTTTCTATATTAGATAAAATTTTAAAAATGTTTTGATTTGTTTTGAGCTATTTACTGACATTTTAATTTTTCAACTTTTTTAGTTTTTTTTTCTATAAAAATGGATAAAAATTTATTTGTTGGCTAGAAAAACTTGAAAATTTAATTCAAGACACCTAACACATTGTTACAATATCAGTTGAAAATATAAAAAACACATAGGCACGATTTGTTTTTATAAGCATTTAATAATGATATAATACCATTGAATTCAAATTTAATTCCATCCATGATCCATTACAATCTTGTAACCTAATGTACAGCAGAGCGACATCCACGACTTAGCCGCTTTTTTTTTAAATTTGACCTCAAACATTTAAAATTTTAAGTGTTCCAATATAATTTTTAATCGAATACTATTTTTTTCTACTCAACACACTGTATAAAATCTATTTATACAACAAAATATCCACYCAAAAATAGTCTCTTAAGGTTACTTAGGGTAAACAATGTTTTAATGAAAAATTATCATTTATAAATTTATAATAAATGCTAATTGGTTCCTAATTACAAATTTAARTTTGAAAGTTCTGAAAACATATGACCAATTTTTACGTTTGGCATTCTACAAATAAACACAATGATTTAAGTATAAAACATCTGAAGTTGATGTTGTTCTATGTATAAAATAATAAAATATGAAAAAATTTTAGAATTTGCAGTATATTTAATTCCTACATAGGAACAATAGTCATTTTTTTTTTGCGTATCAGAAAATATTTTTACTCGATGTGTAAATGTAATTGTATTCAAATTGTTCTRAATACCACATTCAGTTGATAAAATAATTTTTGTTATTCATTCTTTATATTATAATTATAAAATATTCACTTACCTATATAAATTGTAGGAAACTAAAATGAGTATTGACAATAAAAAAATAGTTTTATTATTTTTTCGTAATTTCGGTATAAATTTAGTGTTTGTTTTAAAATAAATAAAACAAACTCATCTATCAACGTTCTATCATTTAATTGAATCGCATTTCTTGTTTAAAGCATTTTACTATTTAATCGAATATATAAAAAAAAAATAGCGGATAAATAAATGTCTGCTGTAAAGTATTTTACAAGTAGATTACTGTAATAGCTGGTGTTAAATTTGAATTCAAATGATATAAAAGCATTGTATACGAAAAACGATTCTGAGAGAAGACTGTTTGTCTGTCTAGGATATTTTATAATTTTATACAATATTAATTATATTGAAATTATTTCAAAAAAAAAAAAAAAAAAAAAAAATGAATGTAACTAATGGACGATAGTATATTGATTATCAAATAAATAGCCTTTCCTAATTTGATAATTATTTCTTTTAAATGTCTTGTTGATAGTAATATTGTATGGTGTTATGGTATACTATAATAATAAATATTGTCTTTAATGATTGGCAATTTTACATATTAATAAAAAAATGTATAAAAATCACTATAGGTAATAATAATAAAATTGATTGTTTATTTTTAGTTTCTCTTAAGTTTATAATATATAAATATTTTTTCTTATTTCTATATGAATAATCAAATTTGTCTGTTGAACCTGATTATTTTTCTTTTATTGCGTTTAAAATTGTTATTGTTTACTTTTTTGCTATTCTCCTATTTATACTATTGGTTTCGAATTTCTAAGAATTTATTTCTAACCGTTGGTAGTATTTGTATAGACGTTTACAGCCACTTTTACCTTGTTTATCTTATAAATTATTATCCTTATTTTAAATTGCATATGTCAGAATGTAGCTGATATTCGGTTGAAAATGTATATTCCTATAATACTGTAATAATCCAATGTCCACCACTGGATTTAAGTCTCTTAGCATACTGTGAAAATTTGAAAGTAATTGGTTTTATAATATTATTTGTTTGTATACGGGTTAATACACCAAATATGCCCATACTTATTTTTTCAATTTATATTTTGGAATTTTTGAGTAAGCATACTTTGACACTATATTTAAAAATACATATAGATTTTTATTAAATTTAAGGAGTATCTTAAGAAAATATTATTTGTTGTCCAAGTATAATAGTACTAGCTTAGTGCCAGTCAAAGAATAAATCTGCTAAGTMTTTAAAATATATTTAGTTGGTCGATGTATATTTTACATGATATTATAATRTTTAGTATTTAAAATTTTAGATTCTGAGCGGAGTGAGGAATGTATTGATCTTACCATGATGTTTGTGTGTTTTTTTTTGTGTCTGTCATCACGTTTTGTGGCAGTAAAAGTGCTTCGATTGTCGACTTCAGTAACTCTTTCGATCAGAATGTGAATCTATTTGGTACTTTGGGGGTTCAAAAGTAAAAAATTCTTAATAATTTTCTAAATAATCGGAACAAACTAAAAATTAAGGGAAAACGGGAGTTTTTACGCACAATCAGTTTTCAACAAAATAGATTTTGGTTTTTTAATGTAACTTTAAAACAAATGACCATAGACACATGAAAATTTAATACAAGGCTCCTAACATGCAAAGTTTGAATTTTGACAAAATACGTAAAAATCACGAAAATTCGCAAATGACTTTAAGTTAGAAATTCATAAAAATGTTCTTTTTAAATCTAAGATCTGAAAATTTTTAATGATTTATATTTTATAATATATGCTAGACTGATAAACCGTCTCCGCTCAGAATCGTTTTTCTTATACAATGGTATATTATCATTGGATTCAAATTTAATTCCATCCATTACAGTAACCCATTTGTAACCTACTGTACAGCAGAACGACATCCACGACTTACCCGCTTTTTTATCTTTTCTTATAATAATAAATAATTTTGGAATTTTTAAGCCATTTGTACGAAACTTTGAGTTCATTTTTCAAACATATTTTACAAATGGATAAAAAGATGTAAACAATTACTACTAAAAAAAAAATTGAATACCCACCTAATTATTTATTTTGTTTTGCCATATTATTTTTATAACATACGTATGTATGGCCGTATGGCTACCTACCAGA